CCTCCACCAGAGCCGAGAAGATGAAGAACCAACTCCAATGGTCAGAACCAACTCCATCGTGCACCTTCGGAAACAACTGCTTAGAAGGGGGAGAAAAACCAGGCAACGCTGCTGTTCTCGAGAAGAAGGAGAAAGAGCAATGATGGTCAGACCATAGCAGTGCCTCATTCGCCGGCACGTCGATCCTTTTCTCCGAATCTTGTGCCGCCATCCCATCAACTTTAGAAGAACTGCCAAAAACCGATGCTCTCGCGAGATCATTTGATTTGTCTTCAATGGACTACTTAGAAAGCGCTGTATCTTCCTTGAAAAGGCCCGCAAGAATCCACCGTTTCGGAATTTTTAAATTTTGAAAGCAAGAATCCACCGTTTCGGAATTTTTAAATTTTGAAACCTTCTTTTCTTTACGACCGGCGGTTTTCTTTCCGATTATTGGCCAGTGGAAAAACCTTCCCCACGGCCGCTGTCAGATTTTGAATCTTCCCTTTCCGATGTGAAACCATTTTCCATTCTTCCTGAGTTTCAGCTGTAGAGATCATCGCTACCGGTTGCAGAATCCGCTTCTCAGAAGAGATGGAAATAACAAAGTAATCGTGACCCACCAAAAGTCTAACTGTCTTTGGAATGGGACCCCAATCAACTTCCAAATACGGACTTTGACCGCTCGAAGATCAAGCCTAGTAAAGGAGTCCATATCGACATCACAAAATTCCCCTCAACAATTTGCTATCAAACAAATATTGGCCACTATCCACGCTTGAAAAGGAATGCCAACTAAACGAATCCAGAGGCTTTATTTAGGCATGTAAGACAAATGGGATGAAGCTTTCCAAGTATCCAATGACAACAACTTCCCTCTAATGCAAACAAACCCATTAGACAGTGCAATCTCCGCATCCTCTTTGGATCGAAGCAAAAAAACAATCTTATTCTCCCCACAGATCTTAACCTTTGGAGCATAAGAGAGATTCCATCCCCTCTTAGCCCAAGCACTCAATCCGAAGATGTTAGTAGATGGAGGTGAGAAGGAACCCTCAATAGGAAAACCAACATCCATAAAAAGACCAAAACACAAATTATACTTTACCTTAACCACATCCACCTTCAAACCTTCCACACTCTGAACACGATCACCACGCTCTACATCATCCTCGTCTACTACCTCCACACTCTCTATCGTGCTCGTCTACTACCTCCACGCTCTCCATCGTCCTCGTCTACTCCATCTAATCAAAAGGACCTTTACCGAAAAAAGATCAAAACTTCTCTGGCTGATCTTTCGGAGCCTAGAAAAAAAAAAAAAAACTGTTTATATTTTTTATGAAGGAGACTTGTCTATAAAAAAAGACTTGTCTATAGAATATCGTTTACGAGACTCATGGAGAGAGAGAGAGAGAGAGGAAAGTTACAGATTTATGAAGGCAATAACTTGCGATTCAAACTGTTTATATTTTGATAAAAGCCATGGGTGGGTTGTAACCAAAATATCTTATTAAAAAATGGTATTATTTTAACCTTTTATTGGTGTATTCTACTTAAACCTTTTCTCTCTCTTTGCCCTGCATATAGCAAGAAGCTAAGTGGGAATTGTCCCACATCGGTAATTTTATTGAACCAAGCTCTTTAAAAGCAACAAGGCCGTTTGTTTTAAGAGGTTGTACTTAAGCAGCAGTACAACATGGACCATGTTGCAGAGTGCCCACATATAAAATACCATTTTAGAATTACAAAAAACGTGTTTCAAAAAAAAAAAGAATAGAAAAGAAAAGGCAACAAAATATGTGAGGTCACAATCCGGTTCGTGACGCGATGTGTTTCAAAAATAAGAAGAGAAAAGGAAATAAACATATAAAAAACTATTTTAGAATCACAAAAAAAAAAACGTGTTTATGGTTCGTGATGTCATCCGAGTTGAGTACCTCTCGGATTTGAGTATAAAATGGGATCCGAGTGAGTCCTTGTCATAAATCGTCGAGATGTTATTGTTTTTTGGAAACAAAAAAAAGGAAAAAAGAGACAAACATATTAAAAACTATTTTAGAATCACAAAAAAAAATGGTGTTTGTAGTTCGTGACATCATCTCGACGTGTTTCAAAAAAAAAAGACCATCTAGACTATTTATGGTAAGGACTCAGTCATATCCCATTTTATACTTAAATTCAAGACAGATTGGATGATACTCGATTCAGATCACCTGATTTTGGATCGAGTGACCGATTTTTTAAACACTGCCCTTAATTATTAGTTGTCCATGAAGAAGTGGTTCCCATGATTTACTCAATTGGACTTTGTTTGAGATCACTGTTGAGATAATGGAGGGGTTGGGATCACAATTCCACTGTTTTCTATCCTCTAAATTCCTTTCATGTCATACTTTTAGAATTGGGAGTGTAGAAGTCCTTCCATTCATTGTATTGAAATAGGGCACTATAACATGACAAAATTTGAGTAAGAGTAGTTGCAAGTGTGGCCAAAAGGGCAAAACCATTTGGGTCCACTACCACATTGCTTTTTTATATTTTCAGTGGCACAAGGGGCCATAGAAATTGCTAGTGGATCTTTATGCACCATCATTGATTTAAACATCTACCATTGTTTATTGATAAAACAAACCAATTTTCATGGATCTAGACATCTACTATTCTTTATTGATAAACCAAACTGGTATTTTATATGTTATTTGTTCTTTAACTTGAATGTGACAAGTCTCTCATGCTTTTCGCCTTTGATTCGTCATAGAAAATTTTAAATTGATGTGATCTGTCTCATGTGTGTACATGCTTCACTTGCAGTTATTTAAAACCCGGTCATTTGTGATTTGAATCATCTATTTGGATAAGAATCGGTTAGGATTAAACTGGTTCTAGTATAGTATTGGTCTCGGTTGTATTCGCCCCTATATCCCCAACATCCCACCCCTTCTTCTTTCTCCTATGCATATATTCTCTTTAAGATTATCTAATATTATCTTAGGTCCCTGTAAATCTCCGGCCCATAAACTCTTAGTTTAGATTTTACATTATTTTATTTGTTTTTAAACTAGAATCACACTGGTTTGATCCAATCCAGACTCGATTTGGATCATCAATCCAGAGATCCGACATGGATCTCTTTAGGTCTAGGTTTTGAAACAATTTTTTTCTTGGTCGGTTTAGTTCATTGCGTTTAAGATAGACATCCTAAGCTTTATAAAAGCTATCTCCAAATGATTTCTATAGTATATAGATAAATTAACTATTGAGTTTTGCTCATAGTGTTTTAAGTTTTTTTTTTTTTTTTTTTGAGACCGTGCTGATTCAATGTCGTTCCCCTTTCTTTGTATATTGAAAATTATCAACTATATATTTTGTCTGATTTTTTTATAATACCTATGCATTTTATGAAATGACCAATGTTGGAAACTACTACTCAGACCTAGTACTCGGCCCGTGCCCGATGTACTCGGACCGAGTCCGAGTAACACGGCTCAAGTAGTGTCAAGTACTGTAGCAAAAAAAGGTTAAAATATTATAAAAAATCCAAAAAATAGAAAATATATGTTTAATAATCTAAACTCTTCACAACTTGATCAACATGTATCTTAAGGCTCTGAAACCAATTGATATGGGGAAGATGAAGGGAAAAATAATTGAAACAAAAATAATAATAAAGAGTGAGAGAATATACCATCTCTAGGTAGACAAGGGAGTCCACCCTAAAAGATCTTTTCATAAGACGTAAATTCTTTACTCAAATCCAATGCTCTGTTTAC